ATATATATATATATTAAAGCAGATGGCATATGCTATAAATCTCCAAAAATCTCCAAAAGGACTGTGCGATATGACGAAATATATTGGATGATTAAATTAAAACAACTAACGTTTCATATTATACGCTATCATTTGTTTCGTTGCGTCGCAAAATACACTGTTTACAGAGATATTTTTTCATCGTTTGGATGGTCAACACGTGGGTGCAGGCACAGAGAATACCAGCATGGCCAGTGAAGATGAAGCAGAACCAGTCCACATGGAAAAGAAATAGAAAAAACTTATAAAAGACTTGCATCAGATGTGGCCTACTTCATATAGGCTTCATATATCATACTTCATATAAGGCTTATATGATTTAGTCATGAAAGTGGCCACTTTCATATATTGTTTTAGTAAGTTTTCAAAACATACAAGTTTCATTTATATACTTTATATTTATATTTACTTTATTTACTTTTCTCTAGGGATCTTATATCTTTTTTTTCACTCTTGTATGCTTTTCATACAAGTTTCACGCAAGACAGATACAAACTCGTCAAAAAACGAGGGGCTGCCTCTGTAGCATGGAAATGGTTTGGTTATGAAGTCTGACACGGACCAGATAAAACTGTACTCTGCAATTATGCTGCAAACCGGTCCCCACCTCAGACTCAAACACAGCAAATCTCTTCTACCACCGACGCAAAAATCATGTGAAAGAGTATGAAGAGAGTTTACGAATGAGAAGAAAAAAAGAGCTGCCAGGTGCTCCAAATAAACCTTAGACTCAAACGTTAGAGCAGGCTTTTCCCCGCAGCACGCCGCGTAATAAATACTCACAAAGAAAATGGCGGCCCAAGATTCACAGAAAACGCACTATTTTGTGATATAAATGCTTCAATCGCTATCAGTTTGACTCTAAAGTGCTGTACTGTATGTTTGTAAGTTTTCTCCCCAACAAACACAACAATGTCGACAAAACATCATCACCTTTCGCCTTCGGCTTGATTCTATAGTACTGCATTTATTTTTCTACAAGGTTTGAACTTAGAGTTTAAACAAGAGAGGAAAGTGTGAAAATGTTCCTGCCTGTCTGAGAAAAGTGTATAAAGTGTGTAGTGAGGGTCTTTACAGCCTTAAAACATCTATAATAATTGTAAAAAATAAAGTCGGCTACTTTGCAGATCACTTATCGCAGGTTATTGTTAGAACGTAACTACCGCGATAACGAGGGACCACTGTAGTTATATACAGTTAGCTAGTGAAGCAGACTGCAAAACCTTGATGATCACACAATTTTTTTAATTATCTTTTTTTTTTTGCGGACAGGAAATACTGTATATGATTTGGTTGATTTTATCCCAAAATCTCTTGTTTCTTCCTTTTCTGTGCATCTTACCTGTTGTTTGACTGTTTAATTTGGAAAATAGAAGTAAAAGAAAGAAGAAAAAAAACTATCACCATGTGGGCAAAAATACGTTTGCCTTAGAGGCCTGGATACAACACACACACACACACACACAAAAAAAAAACAACAAAAAAACAACAACATATGTATATACATACATATACATATATAAATAAATAAATAAATATGTACACTGATAATAACTTTGAGCCAAATGTGGTCATATCTAATCTGATATTTGTATTTGATTAGAAATGTACAGACTAGTGTCCAGCTTTAATCACAAGCGGCTTAACTTTTTACTTTAGCATCAACACCATCTGGAACCAGAAAGATGAAACCTTAAAAAAGTAGACCAAGTGACGGGTTGCAGAAAGTCAATAAATATGCCGTCTTTTAGCTTAAAAAAACAATAAATGTCAAAAGTGTTTAACATTCTGTTTCTTTGGGTTACTCACTGTACTTCTGAGCCGACGTGCTGGTTTTTAAATTCCTATTTATAACCACAAAATCTATACACATAAACAAAGTTATCTTTGCTAGAGATCAAAATTACTGAGACTGAGGATTTTAATGAGTAACAGCACAGATTTTAGAACATGTCTCTATGAAGCCCATCTGTTTAGTCTGTTCAAACTGGGTTTGTACCTTCCTGCTCTTGTTTCTCATCAAATACAGTGAATCAAAAAGGAACAACTTTTTGATTCAAGTTCATTTTCTTTTGAGTTCCACCAGGAGAACGCCTGTGTGTGTTTGTTGTATGCAGTAACACTGTTTATATTGCGCTTGCATGAGATCACCGTGTGCAACGTACTGATAACCTTAGAAGAAGAGGGAACTAATGGGAACGCAGGTTAATTATTTGTAATCAATATGAATGTGTCAGTTAGCCAGTGACAACATGAGATACACTGTAATTAGAGTGGAGGAACAATAGAGCATGCAAACCTTTCGCACATTTTAGCTAATATGAGCTGGTTCCAGTGTGTCAGTACACACAGTGCCTCTTACTTGATGTTTCTTGGGCTCTGGTGACATCTCCTGTGGGATGAATTTGATCGGTCCTTTGATCTGCCTCCTGGACCTCTTGGTGCCATCTGGTAACGTCTCCATGGCAATATCAGCTTCATCGCTGCTGGCTTGGTCACACTCAGAGCATTGCCTAAGGAAATTGAAAACGACTTGACTCATTTAATTGAATTAATTTTTTTTTTTTTAAATCATACACCTAAATCTTCAGTCTTTAATGTAACGATTAGTTGATTGTGTTTACAAACAGACAATGCGGTGAACATCGCAAATTAGCTCGCATAGACACATTAGTTGTGCCGCTTCTTAATAACGGTATCTTAGCTAACAACCCCAACTACCAGATTCAACTTGTAATTGGCTAAAAATCACTTAGCCTACTGGTGAGAGGGGCGTAGCTAGCTGTCAGTTTTTTCAAACAATGTTAAAATTTGCACATTCCGACCCTTCAAATGCTTCAGGAGCTGTCCGCTCAGCGCAGCAACTGTTAATATAGAGCGTTATTAAATTTATTGCTAATGCAATCATATGGCACATTGACTTCTGAGGAAATTTTAGATGGCACTCGTCATCAAAAAGGTTGCGTACCCCTGGTCTAGCATAAACACAATATACAGTTCCCTGTTAGTGTAGGAAATGGAAATCAGCCGAGACAGCTCTGAAACATCTGCTTACATCTCGTTGGATTCATTTACGTAAATCAAAAAAGAGCAGCAGGTCATCTGCCTGGACAGTAAGAATTTGCCCCGCTCACATTAAAAATTATTGCGAGTTGTGCTTCTTTTCTCCATGCTGAGCCATTACAACCGATGTTAGAGTTTCCCACCTGCTGAATGTCATTTTAACCCCTGACTGTTCAGATGTGGAGACAAACTAACACTCGTAGGCAACAGAAAATAGCTATTTTTTTAAATTATTTTACTCATTGTTTTCTACATAATAGAATCAAGCTGAGTACATTATGAGTACATTCAAATTAGAATGTAGATTTGAATAACATTTGTATTCTAATGTAGTATTAATTGAAAAATTAAATACAAAAATATGAATACTGCAGAAGATTTAATTACTTAGGTAGAATTGTCATTCAAGGAGCTACTTTTTACTTTTTCACTTTTAACTGAGTAAGGAAGTTTAGTATTTTTAAACACAGGTTTCTGTACTTTTGCTTAAGTAAAGAGTCTCAGTAAATTTGCCGCTTCTGGTTATTATAAATCTCTGGCTCTCTTCCACAGCGTGTCTTTGTCCTGTCTTCTTCCCCTCACCCCCAACCAGTCGCTGCAGATGGCCGCCCCTCCCTGAGCCTGGTTCTGCTTGAGGTTTCTCCCTGTTAAAAGGGAGTTTTTACCTTCCCACTGTGGCCAAACGGCTTGTTCATAGGGGGTCATATGATTGTGGTTCTCTCTGCTTTCTCTGAATTATTGTAGGATCTTTACTCTTCTTTTTAATATAAAGCCGCTTGAGGCAGCTGTTGTTGTGTGCTATATAAATAAAATTGAACGAACTGAATTGCACTTAAGGAAATGAGAAATGGGGCTGACGTGTGACTTTCACTAATGACTGTTTTGTGCCAGTTTTATCTCATATGACTCACAACAACGGATGCTGTCAGCTGCTCAAATTAGATCACTTTTCATGGTGTTTAGGGGAGAGCCTCAGGGTCCACTTAAACCCAACTTACCAATAGCTGTTCTTGGTCTTCTTGGGCATTCGTGTTAGCGGTGGCTCCAGGCAGCCCAGGTGGTAGTAGAGCTTGCATGTGTCACACAGTACAAGCAGATGTTGGTCCTGGTTTTTTTTACAAATTCCGCAGCTGCAGAAATACATCAGGTTTCAGTGAGTATGAGAAATAATGAGCATGAGAAAAGGTTGTTGCTTTTTGTTTTATAACGAAATTTCTCTAACTGTATAATGAATTCCAACAGGAAAGAGCGTCCGTGTTTTACAGATGATACTCACTGATATATCGCTCTTTTGATCTCCTCTGTACATATTGAAAACAATTTGATTCATCACTCCGTAACACCAGTTGCCACTGATTTTCAGTCCAGTTATGCTATTTAAGTATAACCTCATTTCCCCATTTCCCTTCCTTAAGAAGGGCTTCTTGACAGACACCCATCAAGTGAGACCTTTTCTTATTAGGCTTCAGTAAACAGCTGATGGATCAGCTGAAGGGCCAGATGCTTCTGTCGGGTCCTATGTCAGGTTTTTGTTTCCCATTTCTTAAAGACTTTCACAGACGTTGTTTATCAGCTACAGGTAGCTTTTAGGCACGATCTGATATCCTCGTGTTGGTGTTGTTCCCAGATCATCATACTAAAGGTTGTTCCAGGATCAACATTGCAAGTGACCAATCAGAATGTTGTGATGTCATACTTTTGCGACTTCGGGAAAAACCGGCGTAAAACAAAAAACTGTACTTAAGCTGCGAGAAACTGCCTTTGTCCGCCGATCAACGGACCCTAACCCTGACCCTTTAATAAATGGTAAGCAGAATTGATATTGTCCTTACAACATTGGAATTTCATAAATGCACGAATGGGTTGGTGCGCAAAAGAATAACGTCACAATAATGTGATTGGTCACTTGCAATGTTGAACCTGGAACAACATTTTCATGATGATCTGGGAACAACACCAACACGACGATATCAGATCATCCAGCTTTTAGACCCATCACTTCCACATGCACTACTCCAATTTCCTCAAATATTGCATGGGCACACTTCATCCACACTGAGATATCCCATGTTGTCAGCTCAAGCTCTTTGGGAATCACTGTGATGGTGCAAAAGTTTTATATTATAGAAGTCTGTCAGGCTGTTATCTTTGGTATTTTATAGAAATTTGATTTTGGGTTTAAAACAGAGAGATGTCCTTCTTCACTTGCATTAACATGTCTTCAGACCTGAAACTGGGTTTTTCAAGGAACAGCTACTAAATGAACAACTTACACTTGGAAGCGGCTTAAGGTGTTTTCCTTGCATAATCAGTCAGTGGATAATCAGGGAACAGATCTCATCTGACCATGAAATTGCTTGTCAGACAACTGTTGCGTTTTTAGCCTCTGGAAATATGGACTGAGAATAAATAAAAATGGCAGCCGCCAGTTTTACCCCTCAGTCTCCTAGCAGTTGTACCTATGGGACAAGTTTGAAAATTCTAGGTAACTTCCTTCTGGAGTTATCACAATCACAGTATTTTCAGAAAACCTGACCTCTCATCTTAATCATAAAGTCGAGGACGCTGAAATCCAAACTCATACAAAATCTTTAGTAGTAGATATTAATTTTAAAATTATAGATTGTGAATGCGATAACTCAAGAATGAGGCAAACTTGGGTGTCCACACTGCCCGCCTGCTCACCTACTTGGCAGTTTGACAACAATACCTCATTAGCTTTTTATGGCTAAGGAGTGAAAATGGCTCCAATTCCAAACCAATTAATGCAATGCTTTTGTTAACTCCTTGAATTAAAGCTTGAAGTCTGAACAAAAAGAAGAAAAATAAAAAATGACTGCGGTGCCCATGGGCAGAATGACAAAAACAAGTATAAAATACTTATTTGAGCTAAATGCATCAGATTCAGAAAAATTCTCCTTCGAAGCACTGAAGATGACGGATAAAAAACACAATCTACATTTTACCCATTTCATTAACCTTTGACTTTCTTGCTCCATCATGACTCAAAGCTATTGTGTGTTTACCTGTAGAGGATCGCTGGCAGACTAGATGCCTTCCCTTGGGTGCCTCCTTCCTTCTTGCTGGGCTTCCTTTCTTTTGGGGCCTTCAAGATTGGTGGAGTATTTAATTTCTACCAAAAAAAAAAGAAAAAAAGAAACACACACACAAAAAGTTTGATGAATATTTAATATACGTGAAAAGTAACTTATACTTCACTGCGAAGTAGATTTTATAAAAAGTAAGACAAATAAGATTTTCTTTGAAAAGGGAATACACAGCTCATCATAGTATTCAAGTCAGTTCAATTTCTGAAATATTGATGTAGTCAGTTAAGTAGCAGGGGGTTCCCAGATGCTTTGAAAATGAACAACATTTGCACTAGAATGGTAATAATGAGACAACCCCCAAAACAGAAATTTTTCATATTTTTTCCCCCAGTTTTTCAACTCCAGGAGTTGGACTACTCGTAGCCCAGCAAGTATCTGTTTGCAGTGGGTCCTGCAAGCACATACTTCAGAGGTTTCCCTTAGGCAGTATTATTAGAAGGGAGAGCTTACATTTTCATTGTAATACTATGGAGCCCCGCAGGGGACATGGGAGGAAAAAAAATGAAGACGGACTTTTGCGAGATCTCGCAAAAGTTTTGCGATATCTCGCAAAACTAACTCGGGATCTAGCAAATCTTGCTGCTAATGAAGATGCACACAAAAGCACACACACTGGAATATAAATTTTGATCATGTTTGTGGTCATTTCAGTGGTTATTTGGTCATTAAATTGCCTTTCTGGCCACTAACACACCATGTGTGATTTTCTTTTTGGCCATTCATCCAAAAAACATTAAATAACGTAAAAATAAATAATTGTTACTGGTAGTGGTACTGCCCTGCAATGATGATTAAAAAAAAATTTGGTTTCATCATTCATATGCTAATGTGAACTTCATTGCTATTTTCCCCCAAAAGCGTAGTAATAATACATAATCTGACTGGTATTCAAAGGGTATAATTTCTGAATTTGAATTATACTTTGGTTTTCATGACTAGGACCAGTGTTAATTTAAAAAACAAGTCAATGAAAGTAGAAAAATGTTTTAATATATATTAATTTTATAGCATTTTGTGAACGTAAACAGGAGGTGGCCATTTTTTTGTATTTTTTTGTTTTTCTGTCACTGCACAAAAAACAAAGATGCATAAAACTCATTGATAATTTTATTTATTGCTATGCATCTAACCTCCACCATGGTTAGAAAAGAAATCATTTTGCATGTATTATTTAGAAAAAAAATAGAGATTTTATGATTTTTATCCCTATGTAAATCATTACAATTATGTGATTTAACTGGCATTTAAAGGGTTAAAATTCTGAATTTGAATGAAATTTTAATTTTCCTGAATAACACTGCTGCCAATTTAAAAAATTAAGTCAATGAAAGTGGAATTTTTTTAAAATATATATTAATTTTATAGCATTTTGTAAATGTAAACAAGGGGTGGCCATTTTTGGCCACGAACAAGCTGAGAGGGAGTTTTTATGTTTTTGCTCTCCCTGCACAAAAATAATGCATTATAATCAATGTTGATGTGAATCAATTACATGTCGGAAGTGTGAATTTATCATGGTGGAAGCAAAACAGCAAAAGTAAGAGGAAATTCCTGACGATGTTTATGTGAAGCGAAATGTGAATCATAGTTTCGATCTTCTTTCTCTTGTGGTTCAATCAATTTTGGTTGGAGAGAGATAAAACTTGCAGCTTCAGAATCTAGCGCAGAAACGCAAAGCACCTGGCACCGTTTCAAAATCAGTGAGCTGTCGGCTTTCAGCCCCAACAGCGTGTCCGTGTCCGCGTGTACGTGCCGTCAGGTGAGAAAGGCGACAGCTCACTGATTCGGATGCGTCGGGTCCGCGTTTTGTGTTTACGTCTTTGTGCAGAATCCGTATACCTGCTCTCATTTACTGTTTTAGCTGTTTGGCGGTTGTAGAAATTTTGTGAGGTTTAACCTGAGATTCTGGTGGTTCGGACAAAAAAAAATTATATTTAAAAATCGATTCAGGATTTTAATGAATCGATATCACGTTATCCAATCCAGAATCGATTTTAATCGTTAATCAAGACCCACCCCTACTGCAAATACATAAAATTGTGAGATTTGAGGTTGTCTTCCACCTAGTACAGTGGACAAACAAACTGGTGTTTAAGGGGTTAAAAATGTAATTTAAGTAATAACTATTTTATATTTATGAAAAGAACTGAAGTTAGTTAAAAAGCATTATGTGGAAAAAATGGCAATAAAACATAAAAAATTATAAAAAATTGCAGATCTAATCTGTTGGTGGACACTTTTGGCCACGAACAAGCTGAAAGGGTTGTGAACAAACCCAGAAGGTTAAAGTCTGGGTTCGTCCATACGCACAAACATCAGAAACTAACTAATAAATACAAAGAGTGAATAACAGCTCACCAAGTGCTCTATTTGTACAAACAGGTTTGATCGTAGTTGAAGAACAATTTTACCCACTAACTTGATGCAACAGAAAGCACAGTGAGCATTTATTGAACATCTTTGTTTTTGCCTGAGGGTTTGGTCTCAACAATATTAGCTGAAGCAGTCCTTTGCAAGTCTCCTCAAAGCAGAGAAGGGAAAAGGGAACCTGTTGTGTATGGTAGGTGAAAAGCGGCAGCAGATACATTCAAGTCTCCCCTGCATCTCAGGTGTAGTGCTGCCACGCAGGTTAATTAGAAAACTTATCTCGCAGGGATTCAGTCTCTCGCTAAACAGACAAGGTTTTCCCCAAGGAAGCTCTAATCTGAGCATTCTCACTCTGCCTGCACCGCTGAAGGAGCATCTCCAGAGGGAAACCTGATAGATGGGAGGGGCAGGTGACCAAAGCACAAGGGCTTGCTGAGGCCATCTCTTTAACTAAAACTAAAGTCTGCCAGCGTGTAAGAACGAGAAAATGTCGCCACTGACAATATAGAGCAGTTTGGTTAACAAGCTTCATCAGACAGACAAAGAAGTTTAAAAGTACACATTCAAACAATGAGTTTGAACAATTTAAATAACAGTTCAGTAAGCTTTTGCAAAATGGACACTTGGATCATATTTGTTCCACTCCAATCATTAATATCACAGCTTATTATTGTCACAGCAATTTATACTTGGTGGTTAAGATAAAGCCATTTTAACTAGGGGTGCAACGATACTCGTATCGATATTGAACCG